GTGAGTGTGTGCGTTTCCAAAACGTACCCGTGAAAAATCGTTTCCACGTTTCCATATATCTGTTTCCGTTTCCATGCAATCCAAAATTGATAATGAATTTCGATTATTTCGGCTAATTCGGTCCAGTTAAGGTAATTTTGTATAATAATTTATACCGTTGAGTTATGATAAATTTTGGTTTGGATTCCAATTATTGAATTTTGCTGTAGTTCGGTTAATCCCTCACATCGACAGTCCATTCATAATTATTGGGTTGGTGATTTACATATCCAGTTAATTTATCATATCGCAATCACATTTATATACTTATGTAGTTACGTATACATTATACTAACTAATATGTATGAGAGAAGACTAATTCATTTAATGAAAGAAATTTAAATATTGGATAATAACAAACACTATGACGTTAACATTTTCTTTATCACTTTTACAAACAATAGACAACTATATAGCAAACTTTATAATACACATTTGGTTGATTCTTGAGGAACACACAATATTACATAAAAGATTTATTGGAGAGCATGAGTAGATTTGACAAGACCATAACTCTTACTCCTTTGAAACATCTTGTGATCATCATCAATTAAAGGACTTGTCTCATCAATTCTCTCAAACCCATGATGATCGTCATTACAACTTCTCAAACTCTTGGCCTTTTTCAACTTCAACTGTAGTCCAGGCCCCGTATCGTTCTTAGCCTTCTTCAATTTCAACTGCACTCCAGGACGCGTATCGATGGTCATATTCCTAGCTGATGCGGCTCGTACAAGCTCAGCCACACGATGCTCTTTGTCTCTCGCAGAAGTTTGCGAGTGGCTCGCGCTGAAACTTCGCGGGAGAGCGCTTACATGACATACAGTCGGTATCCCAAAAGACATGGCGCCGCCGAGGTCATGGGAAGATAATTGATTCATGCTTTTTATGTACAAGTCCCTAGCTTTCACCACCATCTTTATGGGAACTTTCAAAAACTTGCTTAGCTTCGTCTCCTTTTTCTTGCTCATGTTTTTCCTTATAGGAGATACAAAAAATTGTCACAAAAGGGAGAGGAGAAACTATTAGGCTATGCATTGACAAGGTCTTTTCGCTCATATTTATATATATACACTTGAACTATACAGATAGATAAGGGAAAAGCTAACAATTAATAAAAACGTTGAGACCTTGATGGTATCCATATTCTATGAAAGCTACAGTTTAATTTGGTTATGATAACAAATTAAATAAGGTAAAATCTCACATGCGGAGCCTATTTAATCGTAACTCCTAACATTATTAGACCCATAAGTCTTATATTTCTATGCACTACGCTACAAAAAATGTGAAGTCAACAGTTGACTTTGAGACTTGAAAATTAGGAGCCGTGAACATTATCCCAGGAAACGAATTAAAACATGACTCACGTTTTTGGTAAACTAATTAATATATATAAAAAAACTAAGGATAAATAAGTTAGAGAATGGGTATAATTCAGACTTTTATGTAATGGGGTATAATTCAATTAAAGTTGAACAAAAAATAAGTTAGAGAATTTTATGATATTAGATAGAATACTATATAAATAATCATATAGAATTATATGATATGTTAATATACAGATTTTTATGTATTTAGTTCTATCATATATTGATTAAGCAAAAATAGTTTAATATAACATTTTTCAAAAATATATAAGAACTAACTAATATTTAAAAGAAAATTAGCACATTTAACAATTTCATATTAACATTACTCAAATATCCGCATCAACTTTGGGCCTCCTTAGTGTATTCAGCCTATCTAGCTCCAATTCTATTTGACTCTGCTTTGGGCTATGGTCTAAACAAAATCACACAATTTCTTTCAT